GACTTCATTCCATGGCAATTGGGATTAGATCAAAGCATAGTATCTGTTTCCTCATGCCTAATAGTAATATTATCTGTTTCCTTATAAAGAAACATTCAGAATTCAGTGACCGAGCAGCCAGTTCTACTCGAGTTACGCGACTTCATTCCTTGTCCATTGGGATGGGATCAAATCGTAGTATCTATTTTTCTCATCTCTGATGATAATATTATCCGTTTCCTTATAAGGAAACATTAATCATACATTAACCGAGCAGCCAGTGCTATACGAGTTATGCAATTTCAATACTTTCCCGTATTGATGGTCATTTCCTTTCTATCTTTTCTTCCTTGTAGCGTGGTAGGTTAAAATCTTGATTATATCATAATTTTCTCTTCGACTTTTGCATGTGATAACCATTTTAGTTGTTGCTTCTGTTGAAAACCATCAAGACATGTGGTTCCTATTACTTGCCACAGTTCTTTACCTGTATATGTTCGAAAACGGTTGGTCCTCTCCAAAGCATTGAGGATTCATTCCAGATCCGAGTTTCGAAATCGGATCGTCCTCTCTAAGACACACAGTATTCATTCGAGGTTCGAAGTTGGAAGATGGATGGTCCTCTCTAGCACACATAGGATTCATTCATGGATCGCGGTTCGAAGACAGATGGTCCTCTCTAAGACACATCGGATTCATTCGAGATGGATGGTCCTCTCTAAGACACACAGGTTTTATTCGAGGTTCGAGTTTAAAAGCCGGATGGTCCACTCTAAGACAGAAAGGATTCATTTACGGTTCGAGTTTCGAGGTTCGAAGACTGATGCTCGTCACTAAGACAAAGAGGATTCATTCGAGTTTCGATGTTCGGGAAAGATGGTCCTTTCTAAGACACACCGGATTCATTCTTAGTTTGAGATTCGAAGACGAATGGTCTTCTCTAAGAAAGATAGGTTTAGTTCGAGTTTCGATGTTCAAACACGATGGTCCCTTCTAAGACACATAGGATTCATTTGCTGTTCGAGATTCGAAGACGGATGGTCCTCTCTAAGACAGAAAGGATTCATTCACGGTTCGATGTTCGAAGACGAATGGTTCTCTCTAGGACACACCGGATTTGTTCAAGTTTCAAGATTCGAAGACTGATAGCCCTCTGTAATGAACACAGGATTCATTCGAGGTTCGAGGTTCGAAGACGAATGGTTCTCTCTAGGATTTGTTCAAGTTTCCCTGATAGCCCTCTTTGTTCAACGGTTCGATGTTCAACGAATTCTAGGACACACCGGATTTGTTCAAGTTTCAAGAGCCCTCTGTAATGAACACAGGATTCATTCGAGGTTCGAGGTTCGAAGACGAATGGTTCTCTCTAGGACACACCGGATTTGTTCAAGTTTAAGATTCGAAGACTGATAGCCCTCTGTAATGAACACAGGATTCATTCACGGTTCGATGTTCGAAGACGAATGGTTCTCTCTAGGACACACCGGATTTGTTCAAGTTTCAAGATTCGAAGACTGATAGCCCTCTGTAATGAATGGATTCATTCACGGTTCGATGTTCGAAGACGAATGGTTCTCTCTAGGACACCGGATTTGTTCAAGTTTCAAGATTCGAAGACTGATAGCCCTCTGTAATGAACACAGGATTCATTCGAGGTTCGATGTTCGAAGACGAATGGTTCTCTCTAGGACACACCGGATTTGTTCAAGTTTCAAGATTCGAAGACTGATAGCCCTCTGTAATGAACACAGGATTCATTCGAGGTTCGATGTTCGAAGACGAATGGTTCTCTCTAGGACACACCGGATTTGTTCAAGTTTCAAGATTCGAAGACTGATAGCCCTCTGTAATGAACACAGGATTCATTCGGTTCGAGGTTCGAATTCTCTAGGGACAGATGGTTCTAGCCCTCTAGGACACAGGATTCACCGGTTTGTTCACGAATGGTTTCACACCGGATTCAAGTTTCAAGATTCGAAGACTTCTGTAATGAACACAGGATTCATTGGTTCTCGAAGACAGATGGTTCTCTCTAGGACACACCGGATTTGTTCAAGTTTCAAGATTCTGTAAGGATCATTGGTTCTCTCTAGGAACACCGGTTTGTTCAGTTTCAAGATTCAACAGGTTCATTCGAGGTTGTTCGAAGACGAATGGTTCTCTCTAGGACACACCGGATTTGTTCAAGTTTTCGAAGACTGATAGCCCTCTGTAATGAACACAGGATTCATTCACGGTTCGATGTTCGAAGACGAATGGTTCTCTCTAGGACACACCGGATTTGTTCAAGTTTCAAGATTCGAAGACTGATAGCCCTCTGTAATGAACACAGGATTCATTCACGGTTCGATGTTCGAATGGTTCTCTCTAGGACACACCGGATTTGTTCAAGTTTCAAGATTCGAAATGGTTCCCTCTGTAATAGGACGGTTCGATGTTCGAAGACGAATGGTTTCTCTAGGACACACCGGATTTGTTCAAGTTTCAAGATTCGAAGACTGATAGCCCTCTGTAATGAACACAGGATTCATTCACGGTTCGATGTTCGAAGACGAATGGTTCTCTCTAGGACACACCGGATTTGTTCAAGTTTCAAGATTGAAGACTGATAGCCCTCTGTAATGAACACAGGATTCATTCACGGTTTGTTCGAAGACGAATGGTTCTCTCTAGGACACACCGGATTTGTTCAAGTTTCAAGATTCGAAGACTGATAGCCCTCTGTAATGAACACAGGATTCATTCACGGTTCGAGGTTCGAAGACGAATGGTTCTCTCTAGGACACACCGGATTTGTTCAAGTTTCAAGATTCGAAGACTGATAGCCCTCTGTAATGAACACAGGATTCATTCACGGTTCGATGTTCGAAGACGAATGGTTCTCTCTAGGACACACCGGATTTGTTCAAGTTTCAAGATTCGAAGACTGATAGCCCTCTGTAATGAACATTCAGGATTCATTCACGAATGGTTCTAGGACCGGATTTGTTCGTTTCAAGATTCGACTGATGGTTCTCTCTAAGGACACATTCCGGATTTGTTCAAGTTTCAAGATTCGAAGACTGATAGCCCTCTGTAATGAACACAGGATTCATTCACGGTTCGATGTTCGAAGACGAATGGTTCTCTCTAGGACACACCGGATTTGTTCAAGTTTCAAGATTCGAAGACTGATAGCCCTCTGTAATGAACACAGGATTCATTCGAGGTTCGATGGTTCGAAGACGAATGGTTCTCTCTAGGGACACACCTAGGATTTGTTCAAGTTTCAAGATTCGAAGACTGATAGATTCCCTCTGTAATGACACACAGGATTCATTCGAGGTTCGAGGTTCGAAGACGAATGGTTCAAGAAGACTCTCTAGGACACCGGATTTGTTCAAGTTTCAAGATTCGTTCTGAAGCCCTCTGTAATGAACACAGGATTCATTCGAGGTTCGATGTTCGAAGACGAATGGATCTAGGCACCGGATTTGTTCTTTCAAATTCGAAGACTGATAGCCCTCTGTAATGAACACAGGATTCATTCGAGGTTCGAGGTTCGAAGACGAATGGTTCTCTCTAGGACACACCGGATTTGTTCAAGTTTCAAGATTCGAAGACTGATAGCCCTCTGTAATGAACACAGGATTCATTCGAGGTTCTGTTCGAAGACGAATGGAACACACCGGATTTGTTCAAGTTTCATTCTGTAATGAACACAGGATTCATTCGGTTCGAGGTTCTCTCTAGGACACACGGATTTGTTCAAGTTTCAAGATTGAAGACTGATAGCCCTCTGTAATGAACACAGGATTCATTCACGGTTCGAGGTTCGAAGACGAATGGTTCTCTCTAGGACACACCGGATTTGTTCAATGGTTCTGATAGCCCTCTCTAGGGACGAAGACGAACTCTAGGACACACCGGATTTGTTCAAGTTTCAAGATTCGAAGACTGATAGCCCTCTGTAATGAACACAGGATTCATTCACGGTTCGATGTTCGAAGACGAATGGTTCTCTCTAGGACACACCGGATTTGTTCAAGTTTCAAGATTCGAAGACTGATAGCCCTCTGTAATGAACACAGGGATTCATTCCTCTCTAGGACACACCGGATTTGTTCAAGTTTCAAGATTCGAAGACTGATAGCCCTCTGTCGAACACAGGGCGAACACAGGATTCATCTGAGGTTCGAGGTTCGAAGACGAATGGTTCTCTCTAGGACACACCGGATTTGTTCAAGTTTCAAGATTCGAAGACTGATAGCCCTCTGTAATGAAAACAGGATTCATTCGAGGTTCGATGTTCGAAGACGAATGGTTCTCTCTAGGACACACCGGATTTGTTCAAGTTTCAAGATTCGAAGACTGATAGCCCTCTGTAATGAACACAGGATTCATTCACGGTTCGAGGTTCGAAGACGAATGGTTCGAAAGATACTGTAATGAACACAGGATTCATTCGAGGTTCGAGGTCTGAAGACGAATGGTTCTCTCTAGGACACACCGGATTTGTTCAAGTTTCAAGATTCGAAGACTGATAGCCCTCTGTAATGAACACAGGATTCATTCGACGTTCGAGGTTCGAAGACGAATGGTTCTCTCTAGGACACACCGGATTTGTTCAAGTTTCAACTGATTCGATGTTGATACCGGCCCAAGTTTCAAGATTGAAGACTGATAGCCCTCTGTAATGAACACAGGATTCATTCGAGGTTCGAGGTTCGAAGACGAATGGTTCTCTCTAGGACACACCGGATTTGTTCAAGTTTCAAGATTCGAAGACTGATAGCCCTCTGTAATGAACACAGGATTCATTCGAGGTTCGATGTTCGAAGACGAATGGTTCTCTCTAGGACACACCGGATTTGTTCAAGTTTCAAGATTCGAAGACTGATAGCCCTCTGTAATGAACACAGGATTCATTCGAGGTTCGAGGTTCGAAGACGAATGGTTCTCTCTAGGACACACCGGATTTGTTCAAGTTTCAAGATTCGAAGACTGATTAATGAACACAGGTTCGATGTTCGAAGATTCGAATGGTAGGACACGAATGGTTCTCTCGGATTTGTTCAAGTTTCAAGATTCGAAGACTGATAGCCCTCTGTAATGAACACAGGATTCATTCGAGGTTCGATGTTCGAAGACGAATGGTTCTCTCTAGGACACACCGGATTTGTTCAAGTTTCAAGATTCGAAGACTGATAGCCCTCTGTAATGAACACAGGATTCATTCGAGGTTCGATGTTCGAAGACGAATGGTTCTCTCTAGGACACACCGGATTTGTTCAAGTTTCAAGATTCGAAGACTGATAGCCCTCTGTAATGAACACAGGATTCATTCACGGTTCGATGTTCGAAGACGAATGGTTCTCTCTAGGACACACCGGATTTGTTCAAGTTTCAAGATTCGAAGACTGATAGCCCTCTGTAATGAACACAGGATTCATTCACGGTTCGAGGTTCGAAGACGAATGGTTCTCTCTAGGACACACCGGATTTGTTCAAGTTTCAAGATTCGAAGACTGATAGCCCTCTGTAATGAACACAGGATTCATTCGAGGTTCGATGTTCGAAGACGAATGGTTCTCTCTAGGACACACCGGATTTGTTCAAGTTTCAAGATTCGAAGACTGATAGCCCTCTGTAATGAACACAGGATTCATTCGAGGTTCGAGGTTCGAAGACGAATGGTTCTCTCTAGGACACACCGGATTTGTTCAAGTTTCAAGATTCGAAGACTGATAGCCCTCTGTAATGAACACAGGATTCATTCGAGGTTCGAGGTTCGAAGACGAATGGTTCTCTCTAGGACACACCGGATTTGTTCAAGTTTCAAGATTCGAAGACTGATAGCCCTCTGTAATGAACACAGGATTCATTCACGGTTCGAGGTTCGAAGACGAATGGTTCTCTAGGGACACACCGGATTTGTTCCGGTTTCAAGATTCGAAGACTGATAGCCCTCTGTAATGAACACAGGATTCATTCACGGTTCGAGGTTTTAGGACACACCGGATTTGTTCAAGTTTCAAGATTCGAAGAAGACTGATAGCCCTCTGTAATGAACACAGGATTCATTCACGGTTCGATGTTCGAAGACGAATGGTTCTCTCTAGGACACACCGGATTTGTTCAAGTTTCAAGATTCGAAGACTGATAGCCCTCTGTAATGAACACAGGATTCATTCGAGGTTCGAGGTTCGAAGACGAATGGTTCTCTCTAGGACACACCGGATTTGTTCAAGTTTCAAGATTCGAAGACAGGATTCATGATAGCCCTCTGTAATGAACACAGGATTCATTCACACAGGGTTCGAGGTTCGAAGACGAATGGTTCTCTCTAGGACACACCGGATTTGTTCAAGTTTCAAGATTCGAAGACTGATAGCCCTCTGATTAATGAACACAGGATTCATTCGAGGTTCGATGTTCGAAGAGATGGTTCTCTCTAGGACACACCGGATTTGTTCAAGTTTCAAGATTCTCTGAGGCCCTCTGTAATGAACCGGATTCATTCACGGTTCGAGGTTCGAAGACGAATGGTTCTCTCTAGGACACACCGGATTCAAGATTCGAAGACTGATAGCCCTCTGTAATGAACACAGGATTCATTCGAGGTTCGATGTTCGAAGACGAATGGTTCTCTCTAGGACACACCGGATTTGTTCAAGTTTCAAGATTCGACTGATAGCCCCATGAACACAGGATTCATTCGAGGTTCGATGTTTAGGAACATTTGTTCAGGATTCTGATAGCCCTCTGTAATGAACACAGGATTCATTCGAGGTTCGAGGTTCGAAGACGAATGGTTCTCTAGGACACACCGGATTTGTTCAAGTTTCAAGATTCGAAGACTGATAGCCCTCTGTAATGAAACACAGGATTCATTCGAGGTTCGATGTTCGAAGACGAATGGTTCTCTCTAGGACACACCGGATCAAGTTTCAAGATTCGAAGACTGATAGCCCTCTTTGTTCAAGTTTCAAGATTCGAAGACTGATAGCCCTCTGTAATGAACAAGATTCATAATGAACACAGGTTCATTCGAGGTTCGAGGTTCGAAGACGAATGGTTCTCTCTAGGACACACCGGTTTGTTCAAGTTTCAAGATTCGAAGGTAGCCCTCTGTAATGAACACAGGATTCATTCGAGGTTCGAGGTTCGAAGACGAATGGTTCTCTCTAGGACACACCGGATTTGTTCAAGTTTCAAGATTCGAAGACTGATAGCCCTCTGTAATGAACACAGGATTCATTCACGGTTCGAGGTTCGAAGACGAATGGTTCTCTCTAGGACACACCGGATTTGTTCAAGTTTCAAGATTCGAAGACTGATAGCCCTCTGTAATGAACACAGGATTCATTCGAGGTTCGAGGTTCGAAGACGAATTCTAGGACACACCGGATTTGTTCAAGTTTCAAGATTCGAAGACTGATAGCCCTCTGTAATGAACACAGGATTCATTCGAGGTTCGGGGTTCGATGGTTCTCTCTAGGAAGATTTGTTCAAGTTTCAAATGGTTGGCCCTCTGTAATGAACACAGGATTCATTCGGTTCGAGGTTCACAGATGGTTCTTTGGACACACCGGATTTGTTTTCAAGATTCGAAGACTGATAGCCCTCTGTAATGAACACAGGGGATTCGATTCGAGGTTCGAAGACACCGGATTTGTTCAAGGTTCTGTAATGAACACAGGATTCATTCGAAAGAATGGTTCTCTCTAGGACACAATTTGTTCAAGTTTCAAGATTCGAAGACTGATAGCCCTCTGTAATGAACACAGGATTCATTCGGTTTGTTCGAAGACAGATAGTTCTCTCTAGGACACATTTGTTCAAGTTTCAAGATTCTGACTGATGGCCTCTGTAATGAACACAGGATTCATTCGAGGTTCGAGGTTCGAAGACGAATGGTTCTCTCTAGGACACACCGGATTTGTTCAAGTTTCAAGATTCGAAGACTGATAGCCCTCTGTAATGAACACAGGATTCATTCGAGGTTCGAGGTTCGAAGACGATATGGTTCTCTCTAGGACACACCGGTTGTTGTTTCAAGATTCGAAGACTGATAGCCCTCTGTAATGAACACAGGAAGGTTTGTTCGAGACAGATGGTTCTCTCTAGGACACACCGGATTTGTTCAAGTTTCAAGATTCGAAGACTGATAGCCCTCTGTAATGATTCGGGGTTCGATGTTCAGGAATGGTTCTCTAGGACACACCGGATTCAAGATTCGAAGAGGATTCTGATGTTCGAAGACGAATGGTTCTCTCTAGGACACACCGGATTTTGTTCAAGTTTCAAGATTCGAAGACTGATAGCCCTCTGTAATGAACACAGGATTCATTCACGGTTCGATGTTCGAAGACAGATGGTTCTCTCTAGGACACACCGGATTTGTTCAGGTTTTCAAGATTCTATTTCTGTAATGAACACAGGATAGGTTCCCTCTGTAATGTTCTCTCTAGGACACAGGGTTCGAGGTTCGAAGACATTCACGGTTCGAGGTTCTAGACGAATGGTTCTCTCTAGGATTTGTGGTTTTCAAGATTCGAAGACTGATAGCCCTCTGTAATGAACACAGGATTCATTCAGGGTTCGAGGTTCGAAGACGAATGGTTCTCTCTAGGACACACCGGAAGTTTCAGATTAGACTGATAGCCCTCTGTAATGAACACAGGATTCATTCACGGTTCGATGTTCGAAGACGAATGGTTCTCTCTAGGACACACCGGATTTGTTCAAGTTTCAAGATTCGAAGACTGATAGCCCTCTGTAATGAACACAGGATTCATTCGAGGGTTCGAGTTCGAAGACGAAATGGTTCTCTCTAGGACACACCGGATTTGTTCAAGTTTCAAGATTCGAAGACTGATAGCCCTCTGTAATGAACACAGGATTCATTCGAGGGTTCGATGTTCGAAGACGAATGGTTCTCTCTAGGACACACCGGATTTGTTCAAGTTTCAAGATTCGAAGACTGATAGCCCTCTGTAATGAACACAGGATTCATTCGAGGGAGTTCATGGTTCTTCGACTGATAGCCCTCTGTAATGAACACAGGGTTCAAGTTTCAAGATTGTCTGTAATGAACACAGGATTCATTCGGTTCGATGTTCGAAGACGAATGGTTCTCTCTAGGACACACCGGATTTGTTCAAGTTTCAGACTGATAGCCCCCTTTCGATGTTGAACACAAGATTCGGATTTGGTTCGATGTTCGAAGAAGACTAGGACACGAATGGTTCTCCGGATTTGTTCAAGTTTCAAGATTCGAGACTGATAGCCCTCTGTAATGAACACAGGATTCATTCGAGGTTCGATGTTCGAAGACGAATGGTTCTCTCTAGGACACACCGGATTTGTTCAAGTTTCAAGATTCGAAGACTGATAGGTTCTGTAATGAACACAGGATTCATTCGAGGTTCGATGTTCGAAGACGAATGGTTCTCTCTAGGACACACCGGATTTGTTCAAGTTTCAAGATTCGAAGACTGATAGCCCTCTGTAATGAACACAGGATTCATTCGAGGTTCGATGTTCGACTGATGGTTCGAACACAGGGTTCGAAGACGAATGGTTCTCTCTAGGACACACCGGATTTGTTCAGTTTCAAGATTCGAAGACTGATGCCCTCTGTAATGAACACAGGATTCATTCACGGTTCGAGGTTCGAAGACGAATGGTTCTCTCTAGGACACACCGGATTTGTTCAAGTTTCAAGATTCGAAGACTGATAGCCCTCTGTAATGAACAGGATTCATTCACGGTTCAGGATTCATTCTAGGACACACCGGATTTGTTCAAGGTTCGAAGACTGATGATTCATTTCGATGGAGACGAATGGTTCTCTCTAGGACACACCGGATTTTCAAGTTTCAAGATTCGAAGACTGATAGCCCTCTGTAATGAACACAGGATTCATTGTTTCGAGGTTCGAAGACGAATGGTTCTCTCTAGGACACACCGGATTTGTTCAAGTTTCAAGATTCGAAGACTGATAGCCCTCTGTAATGAACACAGGATTCATTCACGGTTCGATGTTCGAAGACGAATGGTTCTCTAGGACACACCGGATTTGAAGACGAAGCCCTCTGACCAATTTGAACAAGATTCGAGGATTCATTCACGGTTCGATGTTCGAAGACGAATGGTTCTCTCTAGGACACACCGGATTTGTTCAAGTTTCAAGATTCGAAGACTGATAGCCCTCTGTAATGAACACAGGATTCATTCGAGGTTCGAGGTTCGAAGACGAATGGTTCTCTCTAGGACACACCGGATTTGTTCAAGTTTCAAGATTCGAAGACTGATAGCCCTCTGTAATGACACAGGATTCATTCCGAATGGTTCTGTTCGTTTCAAGACGAATGGTTCTCTCAATGAACACAGGATTCATTGACGGATTCAAGTTCTTTCAACGTTTCAGATTCGAAGACTGAGGTTCTGTAATGAACACAGGATTCATTCGAGGTTCGAGGTTCGAAGACGAATGGTTCTCTCTAGGACACACCGGATTTGTTCAAGTTTCAAGATTCGAAGACTGATAGCCCTCTGTAATGAACACAGGATTCATTCACGGTTCGATGTTCGAAGACGAATGGTTCTCTCTAGGACACACCGGATTTGTTCAAGTTTCAAGATTCGAAGACTGATAGCCCTCTGTAATGAACACAGGATTCATTCGAGGTTCGAGGTTCGAAGACGAATGGTTCTCTCTAGGACACAGATTTGTTCAAGTTTCAAGATGGTGATAGCCCTCTAATGAACACAGGACATTCGACGTTCGAGGTTCGAAGACGAATGGTTCTCCCTGGACACCGGATTTGTTCAAGTTTCAAGATTCGAAGACTGATAGCCCTCTGTAATGAACACAGGTTCATTCACGGTTCGATGTTCGAAGACGAATGGTTCT